AACCATGATTGGCTGATAAGCCAGGGATGGGAACAGTGAAGCAGACTCCGCGTTGGATACGGTACTAGTGCCTCGTACCACTACAATCATAAAATGAAATAAATTCCCACCAAATCTCCAGCCCAACTTTAACCTGAGCAGAGCTCTAATCAGTCAGAATAACTGAAAACACCTGTGTGGGTGATCATGTCAGGATGTAAAAAACAGCTACTTGGAGCTGTACCCTAAATACAAATGGAGGTCGGCCATTTTGAATTTCATGTGAAATTATGATCTAATTTCTCAGTGATCTATTTTAAGGAACTACTCACGAAACTTGATGTGTGATCACAGATAATAGTACTGGCAACAGGAATTGATATGTTTTATACATTCATTTTACTACTACTCAAGTTGATCAGATTCACCACAAATATACTCAGAATAGCATTAATATTTTGATGATGCTTTATTGGGAAATTGTCGACATTGAGAAGAAATGTATCTCTTATTTTACAAAATTTAGAAATACTAATACCATCTCAATAACCACACTATTTCAAAATGACAAAATCTTTATTTTCATTTCCCTTCTTCCTGCTCTCTTTTCTTCCCGATTTTGTAATCCTGGAACCCCTCTTTACACATGGACAGAAATAAAAAATAAAAAAAAATGTATTGTGTCATTGTCTGTTTTCTTACACTAATTCTTTGATCCAATCAATCAATAAAGAATAAAAATATATTGACACCCTCCACTTTCACCCACTCAACAAGCTGAATTGTGTCAGTTGGATGGTAAATCTTCATCTGCAGTTTTCTAAACTGGTTCCAGTGATATTTGTTCTTCAGCTAATAATTACGATAAATTATTCATAATTTAATATATAAACAATCGATGTACATATCAATCATAGAACAACATGAGTGGGGTAGGGGTGCACATAGATTAATAATTAAATGGTTCATGACTTTAAATCAGTCTCCTTAAAGCTCAACGTTATCAAGTTTAACATAAATCGGGACCAATGCTAACAATACAAAAACATGTTTCATACGTATGGCTGCCAGCTGCAGGTCCTGGCGAATGGCCTCGACATCTGGGTCATTAAAAGTTGGCAGTTTGGACAGACTATTCATATTAGCAATTGCTGTAGAAAAACAGAACACAGTACAAAATAAATCAACTACAAACAATATCCACATTATTAACATAGTAACCTACTGTGAAAACAATACAAATTGTACAGGAACGTGCAGTAACTACTTACATCCACCAGAAAAAATTCATTGGAGTTGGCGCTGTCGCAGATCTTGTGTAACTGACACTGTTAAAAGTGTGGGCAGGCAGTAACTAAAAAACAAACTGATTTTAAGGTGATTAATATTGTAAAAACAGTTTGTGTCGATTAATAATCACAGTTAATAACTGCTGATGACAGCCTGGGCAGCTGTGGCTTAGAGGCAGAGCAAGTCGTCCCCTAATCGGAAGAATGTTGGTTTGATCCCCGTCTCCTCCCGCCACATGTCGAAGTATCGTTGAGCAAGATAATGAACCCTAAATTGCTCCTGATGCTGTGCATGCTGTGTGAATGTTTATGAATGAGTTAGTTTCTGTTCACAAAAAAGTGTGAAAAGGGTGAATGTTGCATGTAGTGTAAAAGCGGTCGGAAGACTAGAAAGGCGCTATACAAGTACAGGTCCATTTACCATTTGAAATCTTTTACAGGCACATTCTTTTCTCCCCCAAAATGAATTATAGCAAACGTTAAATGTCTCCATTACTTTTGTTTATGACCAAAAACCTGCAAAGATAATGTCATTCCCACCAGCCTCAGCTGTACTTTGTGCTTAGTGCTAATGAGAAAATATTAGCATGCTAACATGCTAAACTAAGTTGGGGAACATGGTAAACATATATTTGCAAAATACCAGCTGTTAGCAGGCTCACAGACGTGCTAGCAGGGCTGTTGATTGCTAATAAAAATAATTGTTGTAGCCCTATAATGGTTTCCATAGCTGACAGCTAGTACAAGTTCAGTCTTCAAAGGACTAGTCTTCCCTTCAACATTAAATCATCTAATTGTTACTGCTATAATTAAGTTATTAACAATAGCCTCCTTGTTTTCTATGTGACTAACATCGAATCTTTACACTCAGGACATCATCAAAAATGGATGCATACTAGGCCATATGATGATTTATAAGCTGCTAAAATCCAAAATCTGTTGAAACTTAAAAAAACGTTATAGCACAGTGGTGCTTAAATTTCTGAAATGATATAAAGTCAACTTAAAGAAAATGAGTCAATCTAACAAACTGGAATTATATGACCAATTAAAATACTGCACAAATTTATGTTCACTAAAACAACTTCAACTTTGTTCACTTTTGAGTTAGCTTTAATTCATGGGGTTGAGTGACTCATCATTTTTTGGAGGATTAAGTTACCTTACCTTACTTCTTTTATTAAGATATGCTGCTAGTTTATAGTGTACTACATGGTAAGCAAATAAACTCCATCTGTAATGTTATATGATAGTGTGTATTTGATTGTGAATGTTATTGTCACTATGTGTCTGTTTCTTACTGTCTTCTCTCTCCACCCATCCAGCTTTCTTTTGCTTCCACTGATTTCCCGCCCACCGTGCTCCTCCCAGCCAATCGCCGCCCAGATCGTCTATTCTCTGGTCTATTGAAGGGGCCGCCGGCGAATGCTGAGCAGGCTGGCGAAGTCGAGGTCCGCCTCATTGTCCTGTGATTGGCTGCTGGACGGGACTTAGGCTACATGGAGCCAATGTCCAACAAGCAGGATAGCAACTCATCGGAGGGAGATGAGCAAGGGTGAGACAGAGAGGGTGTGTGTGTGTGTGTGTGTGTGTGTGTGTGTGTGGGTGTCGGTTTTGCCCGAATTGTGATGGATTGCACATCTGCATGTGTGTGTCCATCTTTGATGTCAACATGAAAGGAAAGCAGAGATTAACAGTGGATTTGGCAGATGAAAGAATAGCTGCAGGCGTGGATGGGTGGATTGATGGATGGATGAAAGTGTACACTGATGCAGAGTTACATCAACACAACCTCGAATCATCACAGTCTGCACACAAGCACTTCACATTATACAACAGGATGTACAGTTAGTATATTCTAGAGAGACACTATCAATACAAGGATAGATATAAAAAGGAAAATGGAAAATAAACAAACGATTAATAAGTGATTAGTGCAGCATACTCAATAGAAATAGATAAAGAGAAGGATGTCTGCCTGGATGGAGGGATACAGGGGGTGCAAGGTATTTAGTGTATTTTTGGGAGAGGTAAAAGGGAAGGCAGAACAATCCATCACGCTGCCATCTGTGCTCTCTCCGTTTCTCCGGCACGTGCAGTCACACACACACACACACACACTGCCCTCATCGCTTCATTAAATAAATTCACAGAGTCCTGAGCTGTAGAAGTGAACACAAACTGAGCAAGTTAAATCCGACATTACATGAATAAATATATAATG